CTTGGTCAACAACTTTACTCAGTCAATAGCAACTTGTAGTAAAAGTCCGTGCCCAGCCTGTGGTAAACAACAATTTTCCGCGCACAGTCCGCAGGTCGCTGTAGAGAGGGGCAGAACTCAGCCTCCTCCCCTGGTGGCAACAACCTGTGGGCAGTGCATAGCCACAACCTGTTCATAATCACCCACGGCCATAGCTATAGTCTGGGCCCGGGTGCAGCAGACAGCAACCTGCTCATTGTTAGCGGGAATACCAGCCATTCGTGCACGGCATTCAGCAGCCACGGCAGACCGTGAGGTTCACTCCAGGGGAGCAGCAAAAGAAACTGTCACAGCTTCGAGGCCTGGTATCGCCAGTTACGTAATCTGGCCAGCAAACACGCAACCCTCGGACCGGTTCGTAGTCACTTTCCTTGGTAGGCCGCCCAGCATGCTAGTCAGTTGGCTCCTCAACACTCTATAGTAGAACAAGAGATACGGTAGGATTTATAATCAATCAAATAGATTCGGGCAGACGTAGGAAACCCACCGCATAGGAGCCCCAATGGTACTGGTCATAACAAGGAGCCGCCTGCCTCAACCAAGCTCCCGCCACAGCAGACTGTGTTCCGGCCATCGGGCAAAGCTACAGTCCGGGTCCAAGTATAGCATTTTACAGTGTAGAATCCCACAGTAACAACGGCATACAGCTCCCCCTCAAACTCCAAGTTCTCTGCAGACTTCCGTAGCTCAAGCTTGTCATAGCAGGGCTTCCGTATGGCTTACGCAGGAACAAGCCACTGGCTTGGCACTGCAACTCGGTTTATACTTCTGCTCAGTGCTAGTCTACCCCCTCCATCGGCCTCGGACGCTCACAGTACGGCGCTAGCTGGACCGGCCTAGACTTACTGGGACTGTGTACCGCTGACTCAACACAAGTGGACTTTACCACTTACCCGGTAAGTACGAAAACCAAGACAGAAAGGAAGTAATATAGAAGAAAAAAAAAAAAAAACAGATGAAATAAAAGTCATGAATCTCCCGCTAAAACGTGAGCACCTACACTCATTTCAAATCATACACACACAGGGCGATAGAGAGGGGCTACTCCATCGCCGAGATGAAGGTTGCATCGATCAACAGGTAAGTATGCCCTCACGCTCGACGGTAAGTCTCCAACCTCGAGGTGGTCGACGCACTGTCCGTATCGACTGGACTAGGCAACAGCCCGACCAACAGGTAAGCTCCCAATGATCTTCTTCTACCGATTCGGCAAAAAAAAAAAAAAAAAAAAAAAAAAACAGCAATGAACCTTCTGCACGAAACCGTCCAAGTACGTGCAACTTTTCTCACTCCTTCTTTCCCGTTTCTCACCATGGCCCCGCGTAGGTCATTTTCTACTAACTTCTAATCTACTCACTTTCTAACTAATCTAACCTCAGATTTTAACTTGCCATCCTTCAGAACCCCCAACTCGGTTCTTCCCTCGCTCGTTTTCGCTCAGAACCGAGCGAGATATTCGTCTTCCCCTCTTTTATCTTTGTCTATCCCGCCATAGCTCCCGGTGGCCTCTCTCTCTTCTAACTCCTAGACTACTAAGTTTTAACTCGACTAACGACATATTTTGATTCGCCCGGACAAAAAAACTAAATCTAGCATTTTAAATCGGG